CCTGTAGTCCCAGCTACTCAGGAGGCTGAGGCAAGAGAATCGCCTAAGCCCAGGAGTTGGAGGTTGCTGTGAGCTGTGATGCCACAGCACTCTACTCAGCACTCTACTGAGACTGTCTCTACAAAAAAAAAAAAAGAATAAAATAGTGTGGTATTTGTTTACAAGACCAACAAAAAGTTATACCTAATTTTTAAAAAGGGATTAAAGTGGAAGTCTATGACCCTTTCACAAAGATCTTCACATTCTTCTCCCATTGAGAAATGAACATATTTGAGATGAGTATGTCCAGTTGAGATCAATATAAAGGTATGGATGACAGATTTTAGCTGTTTTACAAGACCCCACTTAAATAGATAAACAGAACAGGCTTTAGAATTAAGTGGGGGCTTTCCTCCAGCCTTCTCAGATACCATCTCTCCAGATTCACTGTATCAGTCAGGCCTCTAGGAGCAAACATCAACCTTCCCCTTCATCCCTGACACTCACGCACCGTGATAACCGATGGGCCTCATTAGCCCAGACTGATCTTTAAGTAGAACACAGGGAAGGTTTATTAATATCATTTAGTTTATAATTAATTGACATAAGTAAGAGTAGATGGTGATTTTTGTTTTAACAGACACTAAAATTACTGTTGGCATCACTAATATTATCCTTACACAACCAAGCGCTCTCAACAAAAGGAGGACCTAGCTAGGGAGCCCTGGGGGCACAGCAGGAAAGCTAGGCAGCATCTGAGGGCTCCTCCCGCTTGCCTTGTATGTGGGATTTCATGCTCCTTATCATCTCTGCCAGACATGGGACCCGGCATACAATATACTATTCAACCAATCACAGAGCTGTTTTCACACTCCTCAACCACCCCCGCCCTGCCCCAGGCCCCCCTTCCGTGATGGGCTGTTGAGATCATGTCTCCTCCTCACTTCCACTATGACCCAAGGAGCTCAGCACCAGATCACTACTAGAGAAGAGAAACACAAGTCCTTAAACACAGAAGTAATTCTACAACCTGTCATCATATATACACTCCTCATGCAGAAAACTTTTCTGGCACAGAAGACATAATATGTAAAATTAGCATGTAGGAAATACAGAAAAATTTTCTTGACACTATATTCTACCAAAATATGGACCTGTTTTCTTAAAAAACAGCAGCTAGTACTCATAAAAATGATAACCGCAACAGTGACAAAATAGATGCTTCGAAGGACCTTTCTGTGCTAGGTCTGCAGGACACCAGTTACATGATCTGCTAGGGCTGTAATCAAGATGACCAGTGTCTGCTGCCCCATTTCCTCCTCTGCTCCACTCTGTCTTCCATTAGACCTGCTGGGCCCCTTGTCCCATCAAATCTCCCAGCCTCATCCCTCCCATCCCAGGAAAACCCTGCTCCTTATCCCATGCTCAGAGAAAACCTCCAAACAGTGGTTATCCTCTCTGTTTAAAACATCCTAAGATTGGCTCGGCGCCTATAGCTCAACCGGCTAGGGCGCCAGCCACGTACACCTAAGGTGGCGGGTTCGAATCCCCAGCCCGGACCCGCCAAACAACAATGACGGCTGCAACCAAAAAATAGCCAGGCGTTGTGGCGGGCGCCTGTGGTCCCAGCTACTTGGGAGGCAGAGGCAGGAGACTCGCTTGAGCCCCGGAGTTGGAGGTTGCTGTGAGCTGTAATGCCACGGCACTCTACCCAGGGGGACAGCTTGAGGCTCTGTCTCAAAAAAAAAAAAAAAAATCCTAAGATTTCAAAGAAATTAAACTTTAAAGCACATTCACAATTTTAAAAGGAAGAGTTTAAAAAATGTGAAGGCACAGAAGTACTTCAACCTCAAAACTGCCATCGGGTTTTTAATACCCACTACCAATGTTCCTTCACATGCTCACAAAGGACATTTGGCTGGAAATATGTCCCACAATGATGACTGGAGAAGAAAGGGATTCTCCAGTCAAATAAGCCTGGAAACTGGGTGCAGCAGTGGTGTTTCTCCAACTAAAAGCAGAGGCAAAAGGCTACCCTTTTCTGATAACTGAGCAAACTGCATTTTACAAAAATAAGACTATTAGCAACTAGATGATAAGTTAGATAGGCATGTCAAACACCACACACCATCAGCCCTACCATCAACTTAATCTCTCAAGGACTCAGGAATGTTATGATTTCCCCAAAAGTATACTAAGAAACTCTTATTTTTTTTTTTTTTAAATCTCTGCCCAGCAACTCAGGTGTGAGCTAAAAATCCAAAGATTAACTTCTGTGTGTGTCTATCTGTATACCTCTAAATCCCTCACTTACGCAGGTTTCCCTCATAAAAAGCAGCTGTCATTAAGAGGGCCACATACCAGCTGCCGTATGTACTCCTGAATGGAGTTTGGATAGACAAGCACAGTGACTGCAACCAAGGCATTCAGGGCAAAGTCGAAGATCTGGTAACAGAAGAACGGGACAATCCAGGCAGCACGTTGCTAAACATAACAGAAAATAGACTGTGTTTATTATTACGAAATAATTCTTTTATTCAAAGAAATCTTTAATTAATCTGAAAGGAAAAGGAAAAACTGAAATTAAACCAGATCATGATGACAACTGGTATGCTGAAGGTAAGTAGTCAAAAGAAAGCCTCAAAGAGGCTTTAATATTAGTTTTATTGGTCTTCCTAGTACTATGTGATATTAACAAAAAATTTAAACTTTCAAAGATTCTTAGAACTGGAAATAACCTCTTCTTATAGATAGTTGCACAGATTACATATAAGGAACTCAGGAAAAGGCCCAGCTTATGGCAAGCTACTTACCTTATATGCTCCATAAGTAGCCATTGCACATATCAGGATCATGAGAAAAGAAATTGCAATAGCGATGCACATGTCTGTCAAAAGGGTTAAAAAAAGACAATCAGTAGTTGATCCACTGTTTGAATACTTTTTAAGACTTGGTCTCACTCTGTTGCCCCAGCTACAGTGCAGTGGTGTGATCAGAAGTATGTGAAGACTAGGTTTCTAACAACAGGCCGAGGCAGGTGGATTGCATGAGGTCATGGAGCTCACTGCATGAGACCAGCCTGAGCAAGAGTGTGACCCTATCTCTAAAAATAGCCAGGCATTGTGGCTACTACTCAGGAGACTGAGGCAAGAGAATTCATTGAGCCCAAGATTCTGAGGTTGCTATGAGCTGTCATGCCACTCTACCGAGGGTGACAAAATGAGACTCTGTCTTAAGAAAAATAAATAAATAAAAGCAACGAGTAGGGTGACCACATGACTAAGAGAGCATAAAACCAGTACAGTGTAGTATCTGCAGAGTGCCTGACAGTTTTAAAGACATTGTCACAAATACCTTTTTTAGTCTAACACTGAAATAGGGGTTTTTTGTGTGTGTGGTTTTTTTTTGAGATGGAGTTTCACTCTGTCACCCTGACTAGCAGGGCATCATCATAGTTCATGGCAGCCTCGAACTCCTGAGGTCAAGCAATCTTCCTGCCTCTGCCTCCCAAAGTGCTAGGATTATAGGCATGAGCCTGGCCAAGGTAGATGTTATTGTTCCACTGAACAGATTGTAAAACTAGGGCTCAGAGGCTATCCAACTTGCTACAGTAACATTTACAGCAAAAGGCTAAAACCATCACTAATTCTGCTGTTTCTACCATACCACATTGTTCCTACTTCAGCTAGAATACTGATCAATGCGCCAACCTGGCACTCCCTATAGGTCTGTCCCCAGAGGAAAGTATTCTTATTTTAGAACCACTCTCTCTGCATCCTAAGGATCAGAGATCAGAGAACAATTTAAGCAGGACGTTTACAAATAAAAACACAGGGTTAAAGTACATTCTGGGACAGAAATGCAGATATATCAATAAAAACCATTTCCTATCCTAAAAAAGTTAAGTTTCTTTAAATATATCTACTGACTTAACACAAGAAACCCATAAAGATGTTGACAACTCTGTTTTGTTTTTTTTTAAAGAGCCTCAAGCTGTCCCACTGGGTAGAGTGCTGTGGCATCACAGGTCACAGCAACCTCCAACTCCTGGGCTCAAGTCAGTCTCCTGCCTCAGCCTCCCAAGTAGCTGGGCCCACAGGCGCCCGCCACAACACCCGGCTATTTTTTTGGTTGCAGTCATCATTGTTTGGTGGGCCTGGGCTGGATTCAAACCCACCACCTTAGGTGTATGTATATAGCTGGTGCATTAGCCACTTGAGCCACAAGTGCCGAGCTGACAACTCTTAATGAAGAAATGAAAAATCTCTTCTCAAAAAGGAAGAAACACGAAGGTTCTAAGAGCATCAAAGGAGGATCAGTGCTTCTCATCACTTCACAGAGCCTGACTCTGGGAGGCCAGGCCAGGAGGATCTCTGAGCCCAGGAGTTTGAGACGAGGCTGAGCAACATAGGGAGACTCTGTTTCTAAAAATAATTTGCTCTGTGCCTATGGCTCAAGTGGCTAAGGCTCCAGCCACATACACCTAAGGTGGTGGGTTCGAATCCAGCCCCGCCTGCCAAACAACAATGATGGCTGCCACCAAAAAATAGCTGGGGGTTGTGGCGGGTGCCTGTGGTCCCAGCTCCTTGGGAGGCAGAGGCAGGAGACTCACTTGAGCCCAGGAGTTGGAGGTTGCTGTGAGCTATGATGTCATCACACTCTACCCAGGGGAATAGCTTGAGGCTCTGTCTCAAAAAATAATAATAATAAAAATAAATAAATAAAAAATAAAAAAATTAGCTGGGCATAGTGGTGTACTCAGTTCTTGGTACTCAGGAGGCTGAGGCAGGAGAATTGCTTGAATCCAGAAATTTGAGTACACAATGATCTTGCCACTTGTAATCCAGCCTGGCTGTCAGAGTGACATCCTGTCTCTTTTAAAAAAGAAAATGAAGGGCTGCGCCTGTGGCTCAATGGGTATGGCGCTGGCCCCAGCCAAATTACAACAAAAAAATAGCCAGGCGTTGTGGCGGGCACCTGAATTCCCAGCTACATGGGAGACTGAGGCAAGAGAATTGCCTAAGCCCAGGAGTTGGAGGTTGCTGTGAGCTGTGACATCACAGTACTCTACTGAGGGTGATAAAGGGAGACTCTGTCTCTAAAAAGAAAAAAGGGAATGTGACTTCTTTCAGGATACATACACACTTTATAACTTCAATGCTTACCTTTGCCCTCTTGGGAGGGAAGATGTACTCACAAGGAAACTTCCTACATGCTGCACAGAACTCTCACAGGGTGAATGAAGGGGGGAATAAACCTGAATCCATTTTACACACAAGAACTAAGGCCAAGTAACTTCACTGGCTAACTGCAAAGTCTCTGTCTACATACATATACCCAAGCACACAAAGACGCTTTCTCACGCCATGCTATGCATATGAAGCCATGGGGCTTGAACTTCTTACCTAACAGTGTGGCTACAATGGGAATGTCTACTGTTTTTTCTTCTTCCCCCATCTCTAAGTGACCTCCATCCCACCCCCAGTGAACTAGGTGTTATGTTACTTCAATTAACCCTTCTAATATCCCTATAAGATAGGTATAACTATTATCTCTATTTTAGAAAAGTAATTTGTCCAGCTACTAATGGATATTCTTTTTTGGTTTTTGGAGACAGTCTCACTTTGTCACCCTTGGTAGAGTGCTATGGCATCATAGCTCAAACTCCCGGGCTCAAGTGATTCTCCTGCCTCAGCCTCCCAAGTAGATGGGACGACAGGTGCCCACCACAATGCCAGCCAGCTATGTGTAGAGACCAGGTTTCACTCCAGCTGGTCTCAAACTCGTGAGCTCAGGCAAGCCACCTACCTCGGCCTCCTCCATGCTGAGATTACAGGCGTGAGCCACCGCACACAGCCTGCATGAAATATTCTACCCAGAGGGCAGCACCTGTGGCTCAGTGAGTATGGCGCTAGCCCCATATATTGAGGGTGGCTGGTTTGAACGTGGCCCCAGCCAAACTGCAACAACAACAAAATAGCTGGGCGTTGTGGCGGGTGCCTATAGTCCCAGCTACTCAGGGGATCGCCTGAGCCCAATACCTGGAGGTTGCTGTGAGTTGTGACACCAGGGGCGACAAAGTAAGACTTTGTCTTAAAAAAAAAAAAAAGGCTCGGCACCTGTAGCTCAACCGGCTAAGGCGCCAGCCACATACACCTAAGGTGGCGGGTTCGAATCCCCAGCCCGGACCCGCCAAACAACAATGACAGCTGC